TAGTGAGACCAAAGAGGTGAGAAACTGCACAAAAGAGAAAAAAAGGAAAAAATGAAATCAAAAATCAAACCAAATATATTTCCCATCCAAGTACTATTCACAAGGGAAGTAAAGTACACAAGAGAATATAACCAAAACCATTAAGAAAATCATAAAAACACAAGGCTAATTTTTCTATTCAGTTTAATAGTAACATAAGTTATGAAGCCATAAATTAGAAGTATGAGAGAGAAAAAAAATCAAGCTTGGGTTGAAAGGGGAAAAATGGYTAAGCTCGGGTACAAAGATATGTAGTCCCCATATCTCGCCTTGAAAGAGGAAACCTGGAAAAAAGAAAATATGTAGAGATGACTGTAGAATGATTTGGGGTCCTGACAAATGGCCCAAAATTCAAATTATTTCAATTCAAAGACCTATCCGAATTTGCTTGACTGACCACGAAACAATGGTTTGAAGTTGAGACTGGACTTGATTCTTTTATTCATCAAGTTCAACCTTGATTTGAAACCATTGTTTCGTCGCCAGTCAAGCAAATTCCGGATAGGTCTATTGTGATGTTATCAGTGAAAAACACTATTGTATCCTCACCTACCACCCCCCTCTTCACAGTCAATGCTAGAACCCCCCTAGATTGTCCCTACTACATATATATTAGAGGTAAAATGAAGGCTATGTCGATCTTCCAATCTGTTCTTTTAGCATCATGATACTTTGTCTTTGTTCTTCTGGAAGTAGAGCAATCTGCTGGTCTGTTAGGCTTAGTACTTGCATGATGAGTGCCGCCTGTAAACAAATGATAATAAAAATACATGAATTCGATGGACCAAATTAAATTGTGTCAAATAGCCCACTTCCAAGATATGCTTCACTTGTGACGCACAAAGGTTTCAGTATGAGGCTATGTGCTAAATGCTCAGTCATTCATGACAGGCGGTATAAGAATAAATTTAATTTAAATGAGATTAAAAGATTTTTGTCAGCTGATTGAAAGCCAGCAATATTCCTAACATTCAATAAATTATTTTATTGCATTGCATTGCATTGCATTTAAGCTATGTAATATGAAATTGAGAGTAATACTGAGTAAGCATTCACCTTTTCTTGGTCTTGTGCAGATATATCGGCAGGAGGACCAGTTACATTTGGAGGACTAGGATTTGGGGGCCCCCCTGGACCACCCTGTCCAGGTCCTGGGGGTCTAGCCATACCAACAGGTCCTGGACCTGGTTGTCCCCTTGGAGGTGGCCCACCCTGTGGGGGTCCCCACTGTTGCTGCGGTGAATGATTTGGGCCTTTATGGAACCTCTCAGGAGGACCCCTATCAGCTCGAGGATCCCTGGGGTCTCTGGGTCCTCCTGGGCCTGGTCCACCATAGCGCTGCTCATGGGGAGGTGGTCCTCTAGGGTCTCTCATATGCTGATCCCTGTGGTCCATAGGGGGACCTCTTCTTTCATCTGGGAAAAAAAATTCAAAATTCTGTTACAAAAATATTTTCAAATATATTGAAATTTCACTCTATATTTAGTCTCCTCAGCAGCCGTTCTTAGTGTCGGTCCGGTAAACGAATGGCTGCTGAGGAGACTACTCTTCATTAGGCTCCCAACAATGTTCCCTTGGAAATGGATTTCAATGCTAACCTCTTTGACTTGGAAATAATATTTTCCCATTTCGGACCACATGGTTTGAAATGGAAAAACAATACATCCAAGATAAAGAGTTCTATTTCTGGGAATTAAAATGACATAACTTAGTAAGCCCTGTGATTAACAAGCCATTCTATGTTTAAAGCTGCAAATAAGCTAGTCAGGACTGCCATTCTATAGACGACTTTCACAACTCAGTTTTTTCAGATAGAGAAAATGAAGCCTTTTTAACAGAAACTATTAATGCTATCTGAGAAAATACTTCACGAAAACTATTTCCAGAAAATTTTGTAGAATTTGACTGCATACCAAAGAAGTTATGAAAGAACGAAAATAGAGAGTTTTGTATGTATTTATCACTGGAAGCCTTGGTGGCATCGTTTTGGTRCATTTTCAAAACTTCAAATGCTCACATCTTGTAAAGGATTTATTAAATATGGCATTTAGTAATCCAGCAAAAGTTATTTGAATAAAAGGAAGTTTACTTTTTATTTTTGGCATCCAGTAATAGTCATGTGATTATGACCTGCAAATGGCCTATTGATACCAATGGCAGATCCAGGGGGGCAAAGGGGGGCTGAAGCCCCCCTTCAGCAGAAAAAAATGATGCTTTTTTATTTTGTCTTCCATTGTGTTGACAGAAGAAACTCAATTAGCTCCCCCCTAAACTCAATCACCCCCCCCCCCCCCCCCCCAAATTTTGGCTGGATCCGCCCTTGGATACTGGCTGAATTTAGCAAACATAACACAGGCTTCCCATCCCAAAAAGTACTGTAAGCTTTGAAGGAACGTCTTACCTCTTGAGTCTGTCCGTGGAGGTTCCCTTGATCTTGGGTCTCTTGGATCAAAACCTCTATCACCAAACCCTCTGTCAGGGGGTCCTCTAAAGTCAGGGCCTAAAGATTTCAAGTAATATATGAATGTAAAAGAGTGTCTCATTCAATTTCCAAACACTGAGAAGTAAGCTGAAAAGAGGTGGAGCAGAATTTCTTTAACCAACTTAGATAGAGGATGAAACACTCTTTCAAGTGCTTGATATGGCTTCTCAAACTATCAATAATTMTTGGAAATTCAAAGCATAATTTGCCCACATTTTATGCTAATACTAAGAGCACACTTAATCATGCATTATTAATGAGTTTGAGAAGAATGATAAACATACTAAGGAAAGGTAATTTTTTATTGGGCACTGGGGGATTCTCAGTATAGTTTTAAAAATTGTTGTAGCCCTTCTCCTTTCACTCAGTAAGAAATTCAAGACACTCCTATTAGGTCAACAAGGGAACAGCTTTTGTGACAATGAAGGTTTGACCCTTGACAAAAATTAAATTAAAAAAATTTTTTTTACTGATGGCCCTCCTATTTGAAGCCCCCCCCCATAATAAAAAAAGTACTTTTCTTAAATATATTTATGTGTTACCTCTCATATCATTTGGCGGCATTCCTCGGCCATGTGGTCCATCAGGTGGTCCATGTAAGTCCCTATGGTTGGGTCCTGGCCCTCGATCGTGGATGTCTGGTGGCATGCCATGCCCTCTTATGTCCGGTCCACCTCTTCGATCTGAAGCAACATTGAGAGCCAATTAATTAGTGAGCTATCAAAAATAGGCAGCCATGTTGTATAGAGGGAACTTTGCTACCAGATATATTTTTCAAGCACTTTTTCCCCCAACTGTTTAGCCCAAGGAAATAGTCTTAAAACCCCTTCTATAGATTGGGAATCAAGGTTGATGTAGGAGTACTGCTTTTGCCTTTTGGGTAAGGATTGGGTTGGGTTGGGGAATTATCTGGGCTTGTCTAAGTCAAGGCATAACTAACTCACAGATTGAATTGGAATGCGTAAGTTTTGCAGAGGGAATAAAAATTGGAGAGGTCAGACAAGACCCCACAGGTCGGACAAGACCCCACAGGTCAGAGACCCCACAGGTCGGACAAGACCCCACAGGTCGGACAAGACCCCACAGGTCGGACAAGACCCCACAGGTCGGACAAGACCCCACAGGTCGGACA